TATATACAACACATCATTAGCTCCCAATAGAGAAGATCTTTAAACTACAAAAAGGAAATCAAGTGAAAGGTTTAAGGAATTTTCCCAGAGATGGCATGGATTGGCTACTCGAGTTCAACCACCATTGTCTGATCCTGAATTGAGTAATTTATTCATTAAGTCAATCAAAGGGCCTTATTGTAAGAAGTTTGTCACGCCCCAAAACCCAAATTCGAGGCGCGACAGACGCCGTACACTTGTGAGACGAGACGCCGTACACTTGTGAGACGAGTCCCACAAGTGCACAAGGCTCGGAACTTATCATATCACACTCTGATACCACCAAAATCTAAAGATCAAATTATAAAATCTGCTCTGATATCATAAAATCTCCAAATACATGATCATGATTCATATCTAACATTTATATCCAATTACAATATGGCTAGCCTTCTAATTCGTCACTTCCCGTGGTTTCCCCGTCCTCGGTTTCACTTCCTGAAATGGTGGACAAGGAAAAACTATGAGATAAACTCAGTAAGTAAATATGGAGTGCCCTTTATCAAACTTAAAGCATGCCAACAAGTACAATCACGAAAACAGATACAGTACGGGCACAAAATAGACGTCTCCTCTATAGGTCACGGCCAGTGTTATAAACCTCCCACTGACAGGCTACAGAATTTGCTGGTGTATAACCCCCACTAGCAGGGTTGAACGAACCGACTCTTTCACTAACATGTCGACATGTGCTAGCGTTTATAAACCTCCCACTAGCGGGCACACAAATAACATGACCACATCGGAGACAAAACAGGCTGAAGTTAACAGACAAATCACAATTCACAATCACTTTCAAGTCACTTTCAGATCATCAGGACAATCACTTAAATTTCAAGTAGGCATGCTCAATTTAGTGAAAAGCATAAAACATTTCACTTCAAATCAGTCATGCTCGTGTAAAACGGGTTTAGTCCCGCCACCACTTCAAAAACAAATCAAAACATGCTTTTAAAGACAGTACGGGCATTACCATAAATTTACTTACCTCACTCGCATAAAACCGAGCACTCAATTCACGCACTAACTGACAGAACGATCGGGAACCTAATCAAAACACCTCAGAATTAATATCGGACTATCACAAATTCAAGCTGAAATCATCATTAGGATCATTCCTAATCACAATGCTATTTCTATCACTTTCCACATGATCGGACATCTCCAAATTCGTTCTCATATCACAAACTAATCATTTAAATTCCCGTTAATTGTTGGCCCTCGTGGTGTGAACAGTAACCGGCGAACAGTGCTGGTGAACAGTAACCCCGACGTGAACAGTAACCTCGACTTTCACAAATTGGCCAAAACACTAGCTAATCTCACGGGATTTTCTCTCCAAAATCATAACAAGCAATTAATACTCAATCACATAAATCCCACTTAAATCAATGCTTAAACTTCATCCTAAAGCTACCGGAATTATCCCCAATTTTCTAGCAATTCACAGACACACAAGGCAGCAAACTAAATGGACAATTTAAGCCTTAAAAGGCTGTCAACATACCATAATTCTCCAGCTAAAACTGGAGCTGCAGGGGGAAGAGGCCGGCGGCAATTGCAGGGAAGAATCACGCAATCTACCCAAAAATTGGAGAACCAAGAGGAAATTAAGGCAAACCCAAGTTAAATCAAGCTAAAAGGATCGATTAATGGCTGTTTCTTACCAGAAAATCAAGACAATTCGCACCCACAAGCAAGGAACAGCCGGCGGTGAGGAGCAGAGCAGCAGCAGATCCGGATTTTTCCAGTAGGGGAGGGAAGATTTCTGGGTTCTAGGTGTGTTCTAGAGCAAGAAGGAAGGAGAAATCTCCAAGCTTTCTCACTAGTTTCTCAAAGGTTGGCTGGGTTCCCTTTCTTTGTTTTCCTCTCGGGTTGCAGCGGGAAGACAAGAGCAGAAACGGGCTGGAGAAGAAAGAGGAAAAGGGAGAAAAGAAATAAGCCATCCTTATCCAAATTCTCCTCTTTTAAGTCCCTCAAGTTTGGGAATGTTGGCTATTAGGCCCAAAACAATATTTTCTCACAATCAAGTCCCTAACTTACACTTAAATATTCCCGAAAATTTGGGATATTACAAAGTTAATGACTTGACTGAATTACACTTTTGCTCAGTTGGTAGTTGTAAGAGAACAAGTTGAGGATGGAATCAAATTTGGTATCATCTTAGATTACCAAGCTATAAAGGATATTCTTGAGCAACATCAAAATGGTAAATTGTTAAAATTGGATAATTTGACTCACATGAAAAGAGTTAATTTGAGTGAGAAGGACAAAAAAGAGAATGGTGTACAAATGGTGAATTCTATTACATCTCAGCTTGGAGAAGTAGTTCAAATTCAAGAAAGGAAGCATTGACAATTTGATCCCTTACCATTATCATATTAAGAGATATTCAATCAAATGGTAGCACTTGGGGAATTAACTCCATTCCCTGCAAACAAGCCTCCTAGTCGTTTACTATTCTAGTATGATCCACAAGCTAGATGTGACAATTATAGCGGACCATTGGTCATAATATGGAAAGTTGTCTAACTCTAAAGCATAAGATTCAAGATTTAAAGGATTTGAAACACTTACAATCTCACTCAGACAAGGTTGATCTTAGAACTTCTACTAATGAAGGCTTGAATAAGTGAACAAAGGAGTTTTTTCTTTCTATTATTATCATTTTGGAATAAAATGTATCTTTTATGTTAGTTTTTATTTTCCAAACTCCTTTCATATTGCAATTTGAATCTTTGTTTTTCATGTTTTAATTCATAATTATTTAGTTCTTGATTTTATACTTCCATGAGTTGCATTGTTAATGAACTTGAATTCAATGTTGAACCCCATAGAAAAAATTGAGGCTTGAGAAAAAGTAAAGGTTGAGAAATGAGGGAGGTGATTGAGGAAGAAATAATGGATGAGTAGGAATGAGAGAAATGTACAAAGAGAAATTGATCTCAAGTTTTGAAACAAAATTCCTATGATAGAAGGGCTGAGAATTTTTATCCTTACCATTTGAAACCTTTTGGAAACCTTTACCAAGGATTCATCTTTAAGAATTGCCACAAATTGTACAAAACAAAAAAAAGGGGGAAATGGTGGAGTTTTGCTAACTTTGTTAGGTGATTGTTATCATTTTGATGCCTATGGTAAAAGATCCAATGATAGAAGGCCCCCACCTTTTTTTTTAACGTTTTTGACCCTAGGAACTCTTCTACCCTCAACATCTTGAAGAACATAAGCACTAGGGTGTGGTATTTCTATGACTGTATAAAGACCTTCCTAATGTAGGGCAAGTTTGCCAAAATGAATTTCAAACCCAGTGAGCTTAGCTTTCTTAAAGACAAGGTCGCCAACTCTAAAAGTTTGAGGTTGAACTTCTTTATTGTAAATGCTAGTTAATTCTTACTTGTAGGATAAAGTTCGAAGTCAAACTTCTTCTCAGACTTTGTCAAGTAGGTCAAGGTTTTCTCGAAGCAATTGTCCATTTCATGCTTCATCAAAATGGTTAACTCTTAAACTCAGGACTCTTATTTCAATAGGAATGATTGTTTCAATTCCAAGGGCCAAGTTGTAAGGTGTCTCACCTATTTGAATAAATGATCATTTTAGCATTTTCTTTACATATTATGCATGTTGAGCTAAGGTTAAAATAAACTAGAGAAAGTTAAAACAAAATAGAATTGAAAAAGGAATAAGATCAAAGGAATAGTGATGAGATCAAAAGTTAATACCTGTGGCAGTTCGACTCATTGTTTGGTATGCCAATAAAACATTGTTGAGCTCCTTTGCCCACCTAGCCTTGTGTTGCTCTAACCTCAACTTGATTCCTTTGATAATTGCTTTGTTAACTGATTCAACCATCCCAATGGCCTTCGTATGATAAATTGGGGTAAACTGTAACTTTATCCCATAGTTAGAGCACAAATCTTTAAATGAGGTGTAATTGAATTGAGTTCCATTCTTAACAACAAAGATTTAGGATTCCATATTTGCATATGATTGAGCTGAATATAATGCCTTTCATCTTTTTTGAGGTAAGGCTAGATAGTGGCAAAGTTTCTACCTGCTTTATAAAGTAATCCACATTAACTACCAAGTGCATCATTTCCTCAACACCTTTCACAAACGAGCCAAAGAGGTTAAGCCTTCACTAGGCAAATGGCCATGATGCCACGAAGTTAGTGAGCTCTTCAATTGGTTGGCAAGTTAAATGTGTAAAAAGTTGGCCCTTTGGACACCACTGCACGAATGCCTTGGCATCTTTCTGCATATTTCACCAATAGTATCCTTGCCTGAGCGCTTTATGGGCTAATGTTCTAGCATCAATATGACTTCCACATAAATCTTCATGCACCTTGCGAGAAGCATACTCAGCCTTATAAGGTGTTAAGCAACAAAGGAAAGAGAGTGAAAAGGATCTCTTGTAAAAAACTCCATCAATAAGAGTGTATCAAGATGCCTTTCTTCTCAACATCATCTCTTCATTTCTGTCATTCGGAACTAAGTCGTCCTGTAAATAAGATGTGATAGGATCTGTCTAGCTTGGACTATTCAGATATGTACTGATCTTCATTAATCTTGGCTTTTGGAAGCTTGGCTCATTGAGAACTTTCAACATAGACTGATCTCATCCCTTTGGAATTGTCTAAAGCAAATTTAAAGAGTCAATCTGCTTGTTCATTCTCGAATTTGGATATTTTTGTGAGGTTGAATTTTTCAAATTGAGACTTTCGCTTAGAAACCATTTTTGTATATTTTATCAAGGTCGACTCAACAATCTCACATACTGAGTTTACTTGGTTCACTATGAGTTATGCGTCACTATAAACTTGAATAGCTTTTACATTAAGTTTTAATACCAATTGAAGTCCAAGCAAGAAAGCTTCATACTCAAACATATTATTTGTTGCTTCAAAGTTAAACTTTAAGGCATGTTCACTTCAAAACCCGTTTGGGCCTGCCAACATTACTCCAACTCTTGATCCTTTGTGATTTCATGTCCCATCAACATATAGAGTCTAAGTATTTGCTTTAGAAATAGGATTTGATTGGTTGGAAGTGCATTAAACAAAAAAGCCTACTAATGCTTGAGCTTGGATTACTAACCTTTATTGAAATATTATTTCAAATTCTCCCAATTCAACTGCCTACTTGATTAATTTGCCCAAACACTTAGGTTTTTGTAAGATTTGTCTAAAAGATTGATTTGTAAGGATAACAATGGGATGAGATTAGAAGTATGGCCTCAACTTTTGAGTCGAGGTAACAACTGCAAGAGTTGCCTTCTCAGCTATTGGATATCTATGCTTAACCCTTTACAATACCTTACTTGTGTAATACATTACTTTTGTTGTTTTCCTTCTTCTTTCACCAGTATAAAGCTTATCACCTCATCCAAAATTCAAGAGACAAAGAAAGGATTTCACTATCAACATCTTTAGTGAACAGAGTAGGTGAGCTAAGATAAGATTTCAACTTATCAAAGGCATTTTGGCGTTTTAGGGTCTCTTCAAAATTTCTTCAGCTTCCCCACCTCATTCTTCTATGTTACCAACCTCACAATCTTGAAAAAAGGAAGGCACTTATCAGCTAATTTGGAGATGAATCTATGAAGAGTTGCCACTCATTCAATCAAGTGTTGAACATTTTTAACGGACTTCGAAGGCTCCATCTCTTCGATAGCCTTGATTTTCTCAAGATTAACCTCTATCCCTCTCTTGGATAGCATAAATCCTAAGAATTTGCTTGATTCAACACCAAAGATATACTTTGTAAGGTTCAACCTTATTGTAATCCCAGCTAGCAATTTATGAGTTATTATGCAGAATAAACAAGAGTAATATAGTGTAGAAAAATAAAAAGAAAGGGAAGAGAAAATCAAGCCGTGATTTATAGTGGTTCCTCCAACCCGGAGTACGTCCACTCCCCAAGCCTCCTTGCTCGAGAGTCCAATCCACTAGAAATCTCTTGCTTACGGGTGCAAGATTAAACCGGAACAACCTCTTGCTTGCGGGTGCAAGATTAAACCGTTACAAGTGAATCTCAACTCACTCAACCCCTTCAAGGATTAACCCAATCCAAGAAGAATACAAAACCCTTGTAAGACAATATACCCAAAAGCTTACAAGAAGAAAAGAAGAAGGAAACCCAGAACCCAGTTTCTGTAGCAGTCGTCCTTTTCCTCTCCTTATTTCCAGATCTGATTTTTGGTCATTTTAATAGAGATTTGGAGCCTTGCAATTAAAGTCCCTTCAAAGCCACCTCACAAAAGCTCCAATAAGGTTCCACCTTTTTCTTCTAACTTGTCTTGGAAAGTGCTAAGGCATTTAGATCCTCTATGACCCATTAAGAGTAAGCAGATAGTTGAACTGTCAAAATTAACTTTCCAGAATTTTTGGTTCGAAGCCAGAAATATTGCTTCGAACCATTTTCGGAAAACAAAAGTCCGAGATTGATTCGAACCAAAATAAATTGGTTCGAACCCAGAACTCTGAACAAGGAGGAATATGAATTAATTCTAATTGTGGGGAAAGATTAGAAACCTTGGATTAATTTTCCTGCACACTTAACACAAAAATAGATTAAATACTTTTGAATCATGGTTTTAAAATCATCATCAAAATACAAAGAGAACCTAACACTTATTATGTTCTTCCTTAGATTGTTAAATATTTCTTCTAGGTCAGCTAACTAATCTTTAGCTTTTAAACTTTTCACTATAATATCATCAACATAAACTTCTAAATTCCTGCCTATTTGAGCTCAAAACATAATGGTTACCTTTTTTTGGCATGTTATGATTGCATTCTTCGGGTCAAAAAGCATCATGACATAGTAGTAGATCTCATCCCCAACATAAAAGGAGGTCTTCTCTTCATCTTCGAGTGCCATTGGGACTTGATGGTAGCTTGAATATGTATCTAAAGGACTTAACCTTTCATTGCTGGAAGCTGTTTCAACTAACTTGTCTATGTTCAGCATCGAGTAATAGTCTTTCAAACAAGCTTGGTAGAGGTTGACGTAGTCAATTCACATTCTCCACTTGCCATTAGCCTTCTTAACCAAGATAGAATTGGTGATGCATTCACAGTAGTTAACTCTTCTTATGAACCCAGCTAGTAAGAGCTTCTTCACTTATTTCTTAATAAACTGAAGCCTCTTCTTTTCGAAAAGACACCTTTTTGAGCCACTGGCTTCTTCAAAGGGTTAGTGCTCAACTTGTGCATGGCTACTGAGGTCGAGATCCTTAGTATATCTGTTGATGTCCATGCAAAAACATCTTTATTTGCTTGAAGAAAGGCAATCAAATCTTCCCTTTCCTTTACATTCAACTTGGTTTCGATTTGGGTTTTCCTAACTAGGTCACTATCATTAATCTATACCTCTTCGACCTCCTCGATCAGGCAACTCTAACCTCATCCTCAGGTCGGTTGTTAATTAGTTCTACTCCTATCACTTGTTGATCATCTGGGGCTTAGGACTCTGGTGTCTGACTCACCTCTTTACTCTTTTAAAGTCATGTAACTAATGTCATGTAGCCATGTCTAGCTATCTCTTAATTGCCCTTTAATGTTGCTACACCCATGGGTGTTAGGAACTTCACATGCACAGGTGGAACTATGATACTACAGCTTGAATTTCTATTAAGATATGTCGACCTATAACCACATTGAAATATGATGCCATCTTTATAACCGAGAACTGAACTAAAAGGGTGACATAGGTTCGACCTCCACCGAATGCCACATTGAGCGTAAGCACTCCTTCAACTAGAACTGGTTGGTTATTAAATCCATAAAATAGGGCATCATGACATAGTAGTAGATCTCATCCCCAATCTTAGTGTCAATGAAGACACATTGGACCTCACAGTTGTTAACTATGATGGAGGTGACTAATGGGTTATTGTGAGGCGTAATAACACTGTCGAGGTTAATGGATGTGAAACCCTTCAAGCTCAAATCTCAAGTTATTGCACTCCTTTGTTGTGTGGCCATTATTTTCATGAAAATCATAGTATCTCATATGGTCTCAGGTGGCAACTAAACTCTGCATTGGAGCTAACCCTTTTAACTCCATTTTTTTCTTAATCTGCATCAAGATTTACGACCTCGGTAAAGTGAAAGAAGTCCATGTGTTTGGTGACTTTGTAGGTGGAGCTTAGAAGGTTATTGCCTCCAACTTGCCCAACTTGGACACCAAGATTAGACCTCGTTTTTTAGCTCCTTTCATTCTCTTCTTACTTTGCCCCTCCTCTTTCCAAGTTAGACTTGGATTATCTTGAACAAATGCTGTAATATCCTAAAATTTTCTAAAACTTTAAAATTTAAGTTAGAGACTTATGTCAATGAAATTATTATTGCTAGGTTAAAATTCACTAACCTAAGGAGGGTTAAAAGAAAATCTGGTAATAAAAAGGCTAAAGTTGATTTTCTTTTTCTCGTTGCCTTTTTCGTAACTTCTTGTAGCCCCTCACTAGAATTTTTACCTCAATAAGCCCTAGCCTGTGCCTAGCACCTTTTTGCTAGAAAATCAAGTGAGATTTAGTTTTTCTTCTTCCTTCTAAGTCTAATTTAGATATTTATAGGCTTATGGTTCTAAAAAATTCACAACCAAATCCTGATCTTGCTACTATTGCTTCCCTTAATTACTTGGTCCGTGTCAAGTTCTATACAGTGTAAAGGGAGGTTGCCATTTTCCAACACTTTCTAGTAAGAAATCAACCACATGCTCATCTTTTCATTGTTGCATGTGGTTGATTTGAATTGGGCTAACTCTAATCCTTTAGGGTTTTCAATTTTGGGATTGTTTCCATAGTTTTCCTCCTTGATTTTGCCCATAATCTAACACCACCAGATCTAGTCCTTTTTGTTGGAAATTTTGACAACATGACCTTATAGTAGTATTTTACCCATAACTCTTTTTGTAGGTATCGAATTAAGTTCATTTTTGATTCTATGAAAAGCTAAGAGATATCCTACAATTTTGCCATTGGACATTTAACCCAGTTAAGCTACTTTTAAGTTGAAAACTTTGTTGCAAATTCGCTTCTTGAAGGTGGATGGAATTGGCAACCCAACCTTATGTTAGTCTCTTTTGACCATAACTTTCTCTATAGATGTGAGATTAAAGTGATTCTTGATCTTATAGAAAGCTGAGACATAGGGTTATAATTGATCTATTCACCATTCAGCCCAGATTAGTCAATTCCTAGGTGCAAATTCTATTGGAACGTCTGGTTTAGAATATGACTAGAACTTGCCCTAAAAGGTACCCAGAAATTAATCTATTTTCTGCTCTATTCCCACATTATCTATTGCCACATCGTATCGTGGTTTTACTAGACTTTTAGTTGATGGTTGCTACACAAAAACACCTCATTATGACACAAAAACACCTTGTTACTACTTGATTTTGCTATTGAAATCCTACTCTATTAATCTCAGCCTTTTCCACTTAAACCTGTCTTGAATCACATGTTTTTCTTGCTTAATATTTTGTATGAAATAGTCCCAAACAACCCAAAAATTTTAGCTATGGTTAGTTGTTATTTCAACTTGATATTTTCTTGTTTCATGTTAGAAAGAATTCAATTATATTAGTTAAAATCTACCTTTTTGCATTTGGCTTTGAATGCAGTTTTTGTACTTAAATTATGCTATTTTGTCTTGAAATTTCCCATTATTTTGGCTGCCTTTTCGTTGCTGCATTTTTACTTAAATGTTGCTCATTTCTACCAGTTTTGGCTTGTATTCTACATTGTTTTGCTACTCTCTCTTTTTTTTTTTTTTTTTGCCTAGAAATTCCTATTGTTCAGGGCTTTTTCTAAACGTCTTATAACTATTTTAAATGGTAGAAACCCCACTTTACTGCTCAATATTTCTACTGATGTCTAGGATAGTTAAGAGTTTAATTTCTCACTATTTTTACACTTTATTCTACCTAGAAAATCTATTTGGAATACCTACTATTTTGTGTGACATTTAGAGCTGTTTTAAGCATATTCTAAATATGATTAAACATATTAATATATTAGTAAGGTTTCAAAGGGTAGAGATGACAAGGAGGTGTAGAAGGAAGTTGTTTCTTTGATTAGGAACTTGATTCTAGAATTAGGAACCAAATTAATTAAATGGAATATGTTATAATCTTGTTTATTTATTTGATGTGGTACAGGTTCTAAATCATCTCAACCGCCTTGAGTTCTTGAATTCTTACTAGTTGTCTACTTACAAGGTGAGGTAAGTAAAACTATGGTAATTGCCCTTGGATTTTTAAGGTTGAGGTTTTAAAAGCATATTTTGAACTATTTTTGAGATGGTAGCAAGACCTAAACCGACTTTCATTAATGCATGAGCATGACTGGTTTGAAATGAAGTAGTTATTATTTTATTGAGTTGAGCATGCCTAAATGGAGTTTACTTGATTGTCTTGATGATTTGAAATTGGTTTGTAAATTATGAATTTTCTTGTTGAACTCTTACATGGTTTTGTCTTCGAATATGGTCATGAATCTTGAAGCGTGAAAGTGGGAGTTGTAAACACTGGCACATGTCGACATGTATTCCTAGAAACCAGTTGTCTTGACTTATTCCTGTTATTCCTACCAATGGGATAGAACACTAGTTATTGCTGCTAGAGGGATAGTACATTGGTTATTCTTGATGCTTGCTATTAGGAGTTTGTTAAACATTGGCCATGACCAACTGAGGAAACCACTAATGAGTTTTACTATGTATTAAATGCTTATAACTGAGATTTTTCCTGTGGTTTATGTTTTAATTGTTATTTGGCTTGCTTAACTTTAAATAAGGGCTACTCATATTTTTACTTATTGAGTTATCTCACATAATTTTTCCTCATCCACCATTTTAGGTAGCGAGACCAAGGATGTGGGAAACCAAGGGGAGTGACGAGCTATAAGGCTAGCCATTTGTATTTTAGACTTAGATTATTTAGTTAGGCTAATAATCAAATTATTTTTGGACATTAGATGTTGGGATATAAATAATTCTTTTGTAGACTAGATCCCCTTAGAGATAATTATGACTTTATTAATGGAGTTGTATAATTTTTGTGCACTCTTGGCCTAGTCAAACTTTGGTTATTAAAAACAAGATTTTATTTTGAGATTATGGATCTTAATTTAGTGGATTACCAAATATGAATTAAGAAGGTTTTGAGCCTTGTGCATTTGTGGGAGTCTTTCACAAGTGTATGACGTTTGTTTCATTCTCGATTTTGAGGTGTGACAAATACTAATCTATGAGATAAGGCATATTCATCAACTGTGATGAATTTTCAAGATTTGTCATTGACCTCATCAAAGGTAGTAGGTGGGTGTTTGATTAAATTATCTTGAAATCATTCATGATTAAAGCCTTGGATTATGGTAACTATCCTAACTACTTGATCAAAAGAGCTAATTTGAAGAACTACATCATTAAACCTATTCATGTAATTCTTCAAAGATTCTCCCTCACATTATATTACCATTATGAGCTCATGCGTC